CATGACCCTGGCAGAGTTCAAGTTCATTTGGTACATGGAGTACTCACACCGCATGTGGGGCCGTGTCGTGGGCCTGGTCTACATCCTGCCTGCAGCCTATTTCTGGCACAGGGGCTGGCTCAGCCGCCCCTTGAAGGGCCGTGTGCTCGCCCTCTGTGGGCTGGTCTGCTTCCAGGTGAGAGAGCTCTGCAGCCACGGGGATGATCGTAGAATCATAGAATGACCTTAAAGATTACCCAGCTCCAACCCCCCTTGCCATGGGCGGCGACATCTCTCACTGGAACAGGTTGCTCAGAGCCCCATCCAGCCTGGCCTTGAATGCTTCCAGGGATGGGACATCTACAGCTTCTCTAGGCAAACTGTTCTAGTGCCTCACCCACCCCCACAGTAAAGAACTTTTTCCTAATATCTGATCTAAACCCACTCTCTTTCAATTTGGTATCTTCTGATTGAGCGTAACTGATTCAGTGGGATTCGTGACAGCTTGAGGGGTGTCAGTGCTGGTAGCTGGTTGAAGGCAGAGGAAACAAGTTGCTTTACCCCTAAAGTTTATCTGGTCTTAGTAGTTGCTGCTGCCCTGTCTGGCTGTAACCCCTCTCCTGTTCTGTTAGGGGCTGCTGGGGTGGTACATGGTGAAGAGTGGGCTGGAGGAGAAGCCAGACTCGTACGACATCCCTCGGGTCAGTCAGTACCGCCTCGCAGCACACCTTGGCTCCGCACTGGTCCTGTACTCTGCAAGCCTGTGGACAGGGCTGACTCTGCTGCTTCCACAACACAAGGTATGGAGTGCTGTGTCAGGGGTCAAAAGCTCAGGGTAGTGTCAATTCAGTGGTCTGGGGTGTGATGTGAAGGGTAGGGAAAGGATGTAAAGGCTGATGGTGCTCTGTTTTAGTGTTGGTTCCCGACTCTGACCTAATACTTAGAGAATGCTTACAGTTTACAAAATACTGTAAACCTCATGGTTATGGGACACTTCCTTTGTCTTATGATGTTTGGCTCAAAAGGGATTAGACTCAGAATTTGTGGCAGTTCAGGCAAGGGTGTGCCTGGCTGGGCTAAATGGTTTGTGCCAGTAACTGTCCAGTGGCCACTTCAATTTCTGCACAGGGTTGGACTTGATTAGTTGTGGTTTTGAGGAACCACTGACATGTGACTGCTGTGTGGTGGTCTATAGATTCCTCCTGTAAAATAAAGGCAAACCCATTGTCCTGTACATGCAGTGAAGGCTTTTCTTAGCTGCTGCCAACAGTACTGGAAATGCTTTGCCTTGATTTTTTTCTGCTTTTCTTTGGTTTTTATTTTACAGTTGCCTGAAACGCATCAGCTCCTTCGCTTGAAACAATATGTTCATGGCACTACAGCTCTCATTTTTCTTACTGCCCTTTCAGGTAAGGCTCTTTCTTTCTACTGTCCCATTTGCCACTCATTCCTCTCTGCTGTTTGGTTTTTTTCTGCTGATGTGGTGGGGACTGTAAGCAACCCCATCCATTCTCTGGGAAACGTGCTGCTGTCACGGAGCTTACAGTCAAGAATGTCCTTACTGGTCTTTCCAGGTGGAGATGTGCCTTCCAGCCTGTCTGTGCTGTGTGATCTGTGTATGTTTCTAAAAGAAATTCAGGATCAAGTTGAGCTCTTGAATCAGAGCTGTGCAACCTGGAGTGACACCTTTGCCTACTCTGGTAGTCTTTATTTTTTGCTCTGGAATTGCAGGTGCCTTTGTGGCAGGACTAGATGCTGGCCTTGTGTACAATTCCTTCCCCAAAATGGGGGAGCGCTGGATCCCAGATGATCTCCTTGCCTTCTCTCCTGTGTTGAGAAATATCTTTGAGAATCCTACAACTGTACAGTTTGATCACAGGATCTTGGTAAGTGCTGTCTTCCTTATGTGTCTGGGCTGCTTCTGTCCTCTTTGGGCTGTGGTTCTTTCTGTCAACTTGAGTGATTTCCAGGGTGTCCAAAGGGCCTGAGAGCATCTTACCAATTTGCTTCTGCAGGAAGAGGAAGTTTAGCATTCTTATTTTCAATGTGGCCTTCTTCCTTAAGGAGGTCTTCCTCCTGCGCAAGTAAAAGACTTTGTTTCTTTGTGTCTCCTTTTCCATAACGTGAGCTACAGTGGGAGGTAGCCCTTGCTATTGAGATGTCTGGGAAAGCTGTGTGAAATAAAACTTGGAAATCCTGATAGTGAATGTTTCCTTCAGCATTTCTGAACCTGCTTTACACAGTAGTGCCCTGTGAAAATATCTCAGCTAGTTAGAGCAATCCGATTATTAAATACCACTGGCAGCACTGCTGTGAACTAAGCCGTGGCTAAGACTAAAAAGGAAGATTAAGAGGAATCACCTGGGCTGACCTGCACAGCAAGATTATGCTGGTGCATTACAGCCGAGTGGTGGAAAGGAGATCAGTTTTCCAGATGACAGCTTCCACCTTCAGTTGACAAGGTGAGAGCTGTGAAGAGGGCAGACATAATCCCTAATGAATAAAAGAGGAAAAGCTGTTGGAAAGTAAAGCATTAATTTGGAGCAAAAATGAAACTCTCTGTAATTTCAGTTAAAGTTCAGGGTTGTTGACCTCATGGCGTGGGAGCTCTGGGATTTGGTCGTGGCCGATAATGTGTTTCTGTGGTTAAATATTGCTCACAGAATTTCTTCTACTGCATGGAAGGTGCAGCCAAAGGCCACTGCACCCATTTCCTTTGAACTTTTGTGGAAGGGTGGTTGTTTCCCTTCCTTTCTGTAGGGAATTGCCTCCGTCACAGCTGTCACAGCACTGTACCTCTTCTCGCGGAAGATCCCACTCCCTCGCAGGACCAGGATGGCTGTGACTTCCTTACTGGCTGTGGCTTGCATGCAGGTACTGCCTTTTTTGTTGTTTTTGCCTCAGCTTGGATCTGGGCCCAAGAGCTTGGAGCTGAGAGGTGGAGCTGCCTAGACCCTACACCTCACCATACTGCATGCACACTCTGAATTTGAGGGTGGGAAGTCCTGCTGTGGCTTGTGAGCCTTTCTACACCACGCTTTGTGCTGGGGATGGTATCAGTGGTGCATCCGTAGCTGCTCTTAACCTCTTCTCCCCTTCTTGGCAGGTGGGCCTGGGCATCAGCACACTGCTGCTCTATGTCCCCACACCTCTGGCTGCTACCCACCAGTCAGGCTCCCTGGCACTGCTCAGCATGGCACTGTGGCTCATGAGCGAGCTCCGGAGAGTCCCCAAGTAACCCACCCGCAGGAGAGCCCTGCCGGAGGGAGCTCCAGCGCCGAACCCAGGGGCGGCCCAGACCCTTCACCCCGGGTGCACGGGCGGATGTGCGCCCGGACGGGTTGGCGCAGGGAGGCGGCGGGTGTGAGTGTAAACTTTGTAACATAAAAGAGTTTCTGCGGAGCAGTTCGTGTGTGGCTGAGGGCTCCTTTCGGGAGCGAGGCGCGGGGGCGCGCCGGCGGCCGCTGGGCCGAGCCGAGCCGAGCGCAGCCGGGCGTCTCCGCCAATGGGAGGCGGCGCTGGCGGCGGCGCGGTACGTTCGGCCCGCGGATTGGCCGCGTGCCGCGGCAGTGGGCGGGGCGGGGCCCGCGGAGCGGACGGAGCGGACGGAGCGGAGCGGCCATGACGGCGCACAGCTTTGCGCTGCCGCTCGTCCTCTTCTCCGCCTTCTGGGGCCTCGTGGGCATCGCCGCCCCCTGGTTCGTGCCCAAGGGGCCGAACCGCGGGTGAGTGGGGGCTCGGGGGTACCGCGGGCGGGGGGGTTCCGGGGCCGGGCCTCCCCGTGCTAACGCCGATGTCTCCGCAGGGTGATCATCACGATGCTGGTCACCACGGCCGTGTGCTGTTACCTCTTGTGAGTACCTTCCCCCGCCCCCTGGGTGCTCTGGCCCTGCCTCCATGCCACCGGGGCTGATGGCACATTGGGTCCCTTTGCAGCTGGCTCATCGCCATCCTGGCGCAGGCCAACCCCCTGTTCGGGCCGCAGCTGAAGAACGAGACCATCTGGTACGTGCGCTTCCTCTGGGAGTGAGCAGTTCCCAGGAGTCGACGCCTGAACCGAGACCCCCCTGCCAAATCCGTCACCGTGAGTGGGCAGAGGGCTGGGGTGGCAGAGATGTCCTCGCTTGCTTGCCTCTTTCAGGCAGGGGAGGGAGCTGCAGCCTGGCCCTTGCCAGGCTTGGGGAGATGCTTTGGCTTCTGTGCATTGTGGCTGTGGTGAGCTGGTCTCCATATGGGGCTGCTGCCTCTACACTGGGGCCTGAGCAAACCAAGCACCGTGGTTCTCTAGATTTGTGGGAGCTTCCTCATGGGTGTTAACTTCTCCTTTCTCCCTCCCCCAGATCTTGCAGCTGTTCCAGCCTCTACCCTCCTGTACCAGGCAGCCCCCAGAGGTGCTGGGACAGAGGCTGGACCCGCTGCCCCAGCGCACCTGGAGCACTGCAACCTGGACCGATGCTGGCTCGGCCCCTGAGCATGGCAGGCAGCACCCCTGGACAAGGGCCTAGTAAGCTGGCACTGGGAGCAGCCAGGGAGAGATCCCTTCAGCTGCCCAAGTGCTGCCGTCACTGAGCACCATCCTGCAAGAGATCTGTGTGGTGGGGTTGCAGTGGATCCTGTCCCAGCAGAGCTTGCCCTGTTCCCTCAGCACTCAGCCCTAGCCCCCAAGTGAAACCCCTGCTCGTAGCCCAAGCTGCCCACCTCGTTGCCCTATCCCTGGTCATTTCAGGCACCAGCTGCCCCTCTGCATGAGAAGGCAGGAACCATTGCAACCTCTGTCTGTCTTCTGTGGTGGGGGTGGAGCCTGCTAAGACAGATTGTGGCTGTGGGTGGGAGAAGGGAGGGCTGACCCTGGAGGAGCATGCAGACCCCCTTAAGTGTGATAAGGGAGGTGTTGGGGTCTGCTGGAGGGGATGAAAGGAGGGCTGTGTCTCCCACCTCAGAAGTGAGGCAGCTGCAGTAGTGTCTAGGTATCTCCACCACAGTGACATGGGTCCAGGTTGTGAGAAGAACACAGTAGGGCGTTGTGTTTTAGGTTTCCCCTTATTTATGAGATAATTTATCTGTATTTATTTATTTATTTGTCTGTGTTCAATTTGTGTTGTGGAAATAAATCCTTTTTCTAGTAAGTGATGTTGGAGGCTGAGTCATTTGCTGCTTTGAGGCTGAGGAACAGTCTTGGCCTTACTTAGACATCTTTCCTTCCCCCCTAACACTGCTCTTGCAGCATGAGAACAAGGCTGGGATCCTCAGCTGTTGAGCAGGAGGTTGGCAGCACACGTGCATGGAAAATTTTATCCTTGGTGGCACCTGTGCACTCATGCTGTGGGACCAGGGTCACAAGTAGGCACAGTATGTGCCAGAGGGAGAATCGGCTGTCTGCCCAGCCTCTCACAGTAGGCAGCCATGCTGGCTCCATCTCCATGCCTGTTCAGCAGCCTGGAGCAGCTTAGTGGCCTCTTTGCCAGGCAGCTCTATGAGACTGGGGTGGGAAATAAGGTAAAAAACAGGGACCAATATCTTCCAGGAGCTCTGAGTGAGCAGGCTTTTCCTCTTAGGAGGAGGGCAGCAAAGGATGCTGTCTCCAAGGATCACAACAGTTTGGTTTGCATCAGAGCTCTCCATGCTGCTACCAGCTCAGCAGTCCTGCTCGGATAACAGGGAACAGGAAAGGAGTTCCATCATCCTGCCATGCCAGCACAGATGTGCAGCCCCCCAGCCACTCCACCAGCCAGGAGCAAGTGCTGCTGGGGAGCTGTTCCCTAGAAAACAAGACCAGTGCTGGATGGCTCAAGGGGGTTGTTTATTGCTACAGGAATGGGAACGGCTGAGTTCAAGTAAAAAGTGACAAAGTTCATTGGACTATCAGTGGGCTCCAGCCCCAGGGGAGGAAGCCTTGTGCCTCTGTGCACAGCTACAGCCTGGACGTGTCCTGGGGCTCTGAGCTGGACTGGGGGTGGTTCTCCCGTGGGCAGGCCCAGCCTGCGCTCAGGGGGGGACAGAACCACAGGTTCTCGCACTAGTGCCCAGTTAATGTGTGGGACTCCACGGGGCAGATGTGCCCTGGAGGGAATGTATGAAAGGAATGGCTGCCAACTTTGGTGGTGCCTTAGGAACCAATTGGTCACCCCTCAGGGCCAAGTCTGGGATGCTGGTAGGAGGATTGTCCTAGGAGGGTAAGACATGGCAAAGGGCACGATACCTTTTCAGGAATACTCAAAGAGGGGCCAGGCTGGGCAGAGCAGCCTGGTGGAACTCATTCCTGATCACCTGGTTCCTGCAGTAACTTTGCTAGTGACTGCTGTTCTCCAGCCTGTGTGCTTGTCAGGGCCTGCAGAAAGGCCACCCCACGTGATGAACCACAGCACCTCACCAGGTTGCTCTGCAAACTAGTGGCTGAGTCATGGGGTGGCCCAGTGCTTCAGGCCACAGTCCTAGGTTGGCTGCCTCAGTGATAGCGTCCTGTTATCTGAGGGACCTGCCAGGGCTGCAGCCTTGAGCCCGCTGGCAGCAGAGGACTTTGCTCCACACCATATAGTGAGACACAGGCCAGAGGGCAAGGAATACAAAGATTAGGACTGGGGCAAGGTGGAGAGGAAAGCTCCAGCATCCATAGGTGCCTCAGCCCACAGGCTCTGGTTCTGATGTGGAGATGATTGAGTGCAGAGTTGAGATGGTCTTCAAGAAAGAGTCCAAGCCCTCGGAGCCCAGGTTGTCAGCCAGTCCTGGTTCTGCTGGTGCAACTGGATGGTGGGTACCACCGGTGTCATGGCACATTTCCCTGTCCCAGAGGCACCACCACCTTGTCCAGCCAGAGCAGGGTGTGCTGGGCCATGCGCAGCTGCCGGCGGTGGATGCGGCGCAGCCGCAGGAGGTAGAGGACGATGGCCAGTACTACCACCAGGATGCAGGCAAAGAAGAGATAGTGGTTGTAGACGAAAGAGAGGCGCAGCCAGGAGGCATGTGCTTGCCGGATGCTCTCCTGACGGAGATCCCTGTGGAGAGAAACATCAGGACTGGCCAGGGTCCTGCCATGGTCTGTGCTGCCACTCCCCTTCTGGGGATGGCAAAGCCCTCACCTAGTGCAGTTACACCTACTCCTCCTCAACCACCCTTCCCTGCATGATGCCATCAGTGAGTCGACAGTACCTGAGTGGCAGAAATCTTGTCTTGTAGAGGATGGCTCCCAGTGTCCACTGCACCTCCCGGTCGTACACCAGCTGGGCCGTGCGCAGGCTCGGGTAGTCCAGTGGGAACTGGAAGCCCTCGTGAAGGACTTGGTACATCCAGGCTGATTTGAAGCACTGATACCTGCAAGGCACAGCACACAGGAGCATCAGCCAGACATTGCCACCTCCACTAGTCCCTTACCACTGCAAAAGCCTCCCAGGAGGTCCAGCCATGGTATCCCCCAGCAAATCCATTTACTTCAGCCGGTGCTGGTCAGCATGTGCCGAGTAGAGGCCACCACGGAAACGCTGGGTCAGCACCTCCCACCGCTGGCTGCAGTACTCCTGCCACAAGAAGGTGGGGTTCAGAGCAGAGAAACAGCCCTCACTCCCAGCCCCAGGTACAGCAGCTTCCCAGCCCCTGGGCTGGGGCAGCACCCACCTGGGCAGCGGAGGTGAAGGTGGGGGCACTGTATTGACCCCCCAGGCGCAGCACGTCCTCGGTGCAGTAGAAGAACTCAGAGAATCCATAAAACTCGCTGTTGCTGAAGTCGATGGGTGCTTTGTAGGCCCCCAGCAGGGAGTCCTGGCTGCTGTTGGACCCTGCCAGGAGGGGCTGCAGCAGCTTTGCACAGGCCTGCCAGTCCCCTCGTCCCCGCACGTACAGGGTTTGGCCACCCCTTGTCACCGTGTCCTCCAGTCCCACAGGTAGGCAGGGGTCCAGGAAGGGCATCTTGGGGCTCAGCCCTGTCTGCTGGCTGTGCAGGCTGGAAAACAGTCCAGAAAGGAACAGCAGTTGCCCAGGGGGTTCTATACTACCTCCCAAAAGCCTAGTCTAGCACTGTCCCACATCCAGATCCCCTTTACACCAGACCAGGCTGTGTCCCCTTGTACGCCGCAGTGCTGGCGCCTGCCCTGCCACCTCTTGCCAAGCTGAACTCGCCAGACCTGTCACGCTGACCTGCAGCTACATGCTCCAAGCACCTGTAGGGTGCAACAAGGCACAGCCCACCCCACCCAGCTCACAGGGATCTGTGCCCCTGTATAGCCCCTGGGGATCTGGAGGCAGTTTGCTCCCGGCACCGGAGTACCTGGGCACCAAGCCTCTCCACCTCTGGCAACAGCTTCACGTAGTGCTCTTGGAAGGAAAGGAGAGACAGGAGACAGAGAGCTCGAGGTGGGGACACAATGGAAAGATGTGCTGAGTGAATCGGTGCTGGAGAAGGAGGGAAAGTCAGAGCAGGAAAAGCCAAAAGCCAAAAGCCACTAAAGGAGCCCCCCCGTAGCCTGTTACCAGGAGAGAAGGAGGAAGGCAGGGAGCTGTGGCGCTGCTAACGCCTGCCAGACTTGGAAAAGGGCAGCACCCATACACCCTGTGCCAGCCCAGGCACCTGCTGCCACCGCACAGCTGCTGCCAACGTGGCTGTGGGAGCTGTTATTGCCACAGGCAGCTTTTGAGACACACCCAGGGGGGAGAGGGCAGCATGAAGGAACCAGCACCTCATTTCACAATGCCCCAGCAGGGGCACCGCTAGGTGAGGCAGCAATACCGGTTGTGCACATAGGTTTGGTTCAGCACCAGCTCCTCGTAGCGCTGCCGGGCAAAATTGCCCCCAAAGCCCAGGAAGGTGTTGACGTAGACACGGTACACGTGGCCAGTGTGCTGCACATCACAGCCCAGGTTGAATTCTGCCAGCAAGCTCTTAACAGCTTCCTCCTAGGGACACAGAGAGGCCCTTGATCAGCGCAACCCAGGGAAGGCAGGGGCTGTCTTGGGGCCAACCAGGCACACACGCACCTGCTGAGAGGAGGAGACAGCTCCGGAGTCGGGCACTTCGTAGGCGATCTGCAGGGAGGCCCCTCCCATGTCCAGGATCCCAACTGTTCGTTTCCGAACCAGGGACTTCCCCTGGTCCCCCAGTGCCACAGTGACCATTGCATCCTCCTCTGCAACCCACAGCAGCATGTCAGAGAGGGGCAAGGCCTGGGGCAGTATCTCCTCCCTTCCACCATTACCGCCCACAGCTGCCGGGTGGCCACACCCTGGCTTTGAAGATTCCCCCAAGGCATCCACAGGTGGAAGCCACTACAGAAACACTATCACGAACCCTCTCTCCCTGCTTCTTCTCCCAAAATGCTGCAGATGGCCCCCTCACACAATAACCTGTGACCAGGGCAAGGCTCCTCCAAGTCCCAGATCCATTTCACACATACGACTGGGGTCAGGCATTGCTGCCTGCTCCAGAGGTTGCTCTTAGCTCCAGCACTGAGGCAAAGTCCAGCAGGGCTCTGGTCAGACCCTCCCAGCTGTTCTACAAGCAGCCAGACTCACCATCCTCGTGATCAAACCGTCCCAGGACAAAGTTGATGCCAATCCAAGCATAGACACCTGCACAAGACAGAAAATGTAATTATGACAATATACTAAAGAACACCAAGCAATGCTCTGTGGTAGCTCCTACCTTCCTGTTTCCCTGAGATTACTTCTGCGTGTGATTTGGAGAAGAGGAAATCAAACTCCAGGGGCACGTTTCTCACCAAGTCCTCCAGGATTGCAGCTTGCTGCCTGCAAGGGCATGGGAAAGGAACAGATGCTAGGGGACCTTCACCAGTAAGGCTGGTGAACAGACAGCAGGGATCATCCAGCACTGAACCCCCTGTTCAGCCCCGCAAGCCGTGCTGCTGCACCCAGCACGCTTTGGAGACAAGAAATACGTCCATCTGTTTGAGACTCTCAGTAAAAAGCCTCTTCTCTCAACTCCCTCCCAGCATGCTCAGATCCTCCTTCTGCATCCCTCACTGCTTGCCCCAGCAACTTGCCCTTTCCTTTCTCAATTCCCCCCAGGATTCCCAATTTTCCCGAAGAGACAGCTGATGGGGGTGAGAGATTCCAGGGTATCCCTGGCTCGCCTGACACGGGCCACAAACTCACCGCTCAGGCAGCAGCCGCATGCCCGCCGTGCACAGGATGTACAGCGGCGTTTCCTTGTGCTTCTGGGCCGGGACGTGGGCGGCCGCGAACCGGAGGAGCGGGCGCAGGTAGGGGGTGGCCCGCTCGGGGGCCGCCGCGGTCACGGAGATGCCTGTCCGGGGAAGGAGCTGTGAGAAACCCGCCCTGTCGGTACGCAGGGGGCTCGGGCTGGGGACGGACAGCGGCGGCACCCACCCGGTTTAATCTTCTTGACGACGGGGCGGCTGCTCCTGTCCCTCATCTGCTTGATGTCCAGCAGGTCGTGCGGGTTCCCGTTGTGCGGGGGCCAGAAGTAGACGAAGACACGGGATCCGCTGCTCCCGCAGTCCACCACCACGCCGTAGCTAAGGGCCGAGTCCTCGGTGTCGGTGGCCGTCAGCTCCTCCGCCCGCGCCAGGTACCTGGGGCAGGGTGGCGGGGCCGCTCAGCACCGGCGGCTCAGCACCGGCGGCCCCGCTCCCCCGGCACCTCGGCCCCGCTCACCTCTCGTCCCGCCGGGCGCCGCGGGGCGGCGCGGCCCAGCGGCGGGGCACGGCGCCCGCCAGCAACAGCAAAAGCCCCAGGAGCAGGGCGAACCCCAGCGCCACCGGGCGCTGCCGCGGCCCCGGGCACGGTCCCGCCGAGCGCCACGACAGGCAGGAAACACCGATCCTGCAGGGCAGAGGCCACACCTCAGCACCGGGACCGCGCCGGCACCGGCCCTCCGGCGCGGCCCGGCCCCCCTCACCTGGCCATGTGCGCCCGCCGCCGCCCGCCCGCGCATCGCCGCTGGCGGCCCCGCCGCCGGCACCGGCGGACACGTCACCGTCGCCGCCGCCGCGCCCCGCCGGGCGGAGATCCGCCCACCGCCGCACGGGGACCAATCGGCGCCGCCGACCCCCGCCTCGGCCATGCCCGTGCGGCCCGACGACCAATCGGATCGGGGAGAGACACGCCCCTTCCCCCCCAGGCTGGCGGGGCGGGGCCCGGCTTCGCCCTTGCTCCCGCACCCGACCTTCGCCGTGGGGCGTCACGCGGGGGCCCCCAGCCAATCTCGGCCGCCCAAATAAACAGCACGCGCCGACGGCCGGAGCGGCGGGCCCACCGGCCAATGGCGGCTCTCGGGCCGGCCAAAGGTCGCGGGCCCGCCGGCCAATGGGCCGCGCGGCGGGGCGGGCCGCCAAGTTGGAGCGCCCAATGGGCCGCGCGGGCCGGCAGGGCGGGCAGTCCCGGTAGCCAACGGGCGGCGCGCTGGGGCGCGCCGGAGGGAGCGGCCAGCCAGTGGCGGCGCCCGGGCCGCGGCTGCGGCGGCCAATGAGCGCGGGGCGTTCGGGCTGTGCGCGGCGGGCCCAGCCAATGGGGGCGCTGCGGGGGCGGGCCCCGGGCGGTGGCGGCCAATGGGCGCGGAGCAGGGGCGGGGCGTTGCGGGAGGCGGTGTGGCCGGGCCGGGGCGGTGGCGGCGGCGGCGGCGGCGGCGCGATGGAGCTGGGGGCGGGAGCGGGGGCGGGCGCGGGCCCCGGCGCGCGGGGCGGCGCGGAGTCGGGCCGCGTCCTGCTGCTGCTCATGGGCAGTGGTGGCGGCGGCCCGGGCCGGGCGCGGCGAGGCGGCGCGGAGGCGGCGCCGGGTCCCGGTGCCGGCCCGGGGGGCCCCGAGCCGCGCTCCCCGCCCGCCCCCGACTACGAGGCGCTGCCGCAGGGCGCCGCCGTGTCCACGCACATGCTGGCGGGCGCCGTGGCGGGCGTCATGGAGCACTGTGTGATGTACCCCATCGACTGCGTCAAGGTGCCGGCGGCGCGGCGGGAGGGGCGGGGGCGGCGCGGCGGGTGCCCCGGGCAGGGTCTCAGGAGCCGCCCGGGCGGGCCCGCCCTGTGTTGCAGACGCGGATGCAGAGCCTGCAGCCGGAGCCCGCCGCCCGCTACCGGAACGTGCTGGAGGCCCTGTGGCGCATCGCCCGCACCGAGGGCGTCTGGCGGCCCATGCGGGGCCTGAACATCACGGCTACCGGCGCTGGGCCGGCGCACGCCCTCTACTTCGCTTGCTACGAAAAGTTAAAAAAGACGCTGAGCGACGTTATCCACGCGGGGGGCAATAGCCATGTGGCCAACGGTACCGGCCCCGCCACGCCGGGGGGGGAGCGGGGCGGGAGCGGCAGGTGTGGCGGTCAGGCTCGGTCCCGGTGCGGGGTCGGGGTGCCGTGGTTGTCCTAAAGCCCTGTGCTCTCTCCAGCCGCGAGCCACAGCCGCACGGCGCCGGGCAGGGGAAGCACCGCTCCTGCGCCCGCTGGAGCTGGTGCCAGGTATCTGGCATGGAGCAGGTCGGTGGCCCTGGCCCAGGAGGATGGCGGTGGATGAGAGCTTCCTGCAGACAAGCCGGGACTGGCCGTGGCCCCGTGGGTTGGCAGTGCCAGAGCTCGCCTCAGGAGTGCCACGTGGGTTTGGAGCCTGTCTCGCCATGGTGCCCGTTCCGTCTCAAGGAGCTGCCACAGTAGGGAGAGCATGGGGCTGAGGGGAGAGCAGGGCACGTTCTGCCCTTGGCAGGCATGTAGCAGAGTGCTATGTTGGGCTGCTCCTGCACGGGACATGGGGACACCATCCTAAGGGCCCCTGCCATCTGGTGGCATTGTCCTGTCCCTCAAGGAGTGGACCCAAGCGAGTCCCAGTCAGCCCACGGGACTTGACAGCCTGTCACAACCCTCTGCCTCTCCTGATCTCTCTCCGGGTGGGAACCGCTGAGGACCAGCCTGCCTTTTGGAGGGGAGATGGAGGCTGCCTTCAGATCTCACCCTCTTTCAAGGGCCTCCTGTACTTTGGCAGGGGACTCAGGGCTGTGGTGGAGCCCCGGGGTCCCTCACCTTTCCCCCCCTCACATGTGGCAGTTCTTGTTTTGCAGGTGCAGCCGGGTGTGTAGCAACGTTGCTCCACGATGCAGCCATGAACCCTGCTGAAGGTAACGATGGTCCTGGCCTGCCAGGGAGGGGAGGAGCAGGGTCTGCCTGAGCCTCTGGGGTCCCCTCGGTGGCATGGAAGGTGCTCCTATTGCTTTCCTGACTGCAAGGATCCTTTAGGGTCACGTGGGTCCTCTTAGGGGTGCTAGTGGCTGCCTGTTACGGACAGGGTGGGTAGAAGAGATTAACTTGGAAGTGCAGCACACCCCGGCTTAGGAGGAGCTGGGAGGGAATGGGCCTTTCACCCAGGAGTTTGGTGGGGACTGTTACCTGGAACAGGGAAGAAGTCAAGAGAGATGTGATCTGCACTGCTAAAGTCGTTCCAAGTGTGTTGAAGCTGGGCACTGCTATGGTGAGAACTCTGGAAGACGTGGTACGGTTGTGGGCCTGTGTTCAAGAAGAAAATTAAAAGAATGGGATACAAAAACATGCTAGAGAGGTTGGGAGAAGGGAGATCTTGTGGAATGTCTGGAAGATGATGATTTTGTTGAGCCTGGTATGTATGAAAAAAACAGAGTTTGCAATTTAAGTCTGTGAACGTGGTGGGAAAAGGAAGAATAATGAGGAAAGGCCAGTCATGAAGGTATTTTTTCCTCTTAAAATTGGAGAGCTTGCGACAGTTCAGGCTCTAGCTGATGTGGGCCCAGCAAGGCTCATGCCTGCCCACTGCATGGCTGGGACTCGAAGAGCAGGCAGCTGGCTGGCTAGACTGTTGTCATTCCTTCCCTGGAGCTTTTCTTGTCATGACTGTAGTAGTTTATAGTCACATCATTTTTATTTCCCTGTGGTCATGTTGAGATAGGGGGAGGCAGGACAGGGGCGGGCTCCGCTCTAGGCTTCCCTGTCCTGCTCTTGGATGTATTGGGGGGTTTGGCATCTGAATTTTGCCCTGGAGTGGCAGCGTTTCGGCAGTGGCTGCAAACAGTTCCTGGCTGGTGAGCTCTGTGATGTGCTGTGGTTATTCTGGGCTTCAGTGGGGGTGGCTGGGGAGGGACAGTATTATCCAGATAGAGAGCTGTCTGGAATATAAAAGGACTGAATGCAGAGCAGGTTCTTCAGACAGCATGGTAGTTCTGCTGCCGTGAATGAGCAGTTGCTCGGGAGTGAGGCTGGATCTGGAGTGTAACTGACGGGATATCCAGATGTTCCCTGGGGCTATGGCAGCTGCAGGGTTTGAAGGTGGTGATGTCTGTCTGACAGGGAAGCTTCAGCAGATCTAAATGGCTGGAGTCCTGTCTGGGGACACCCGTCGCTGCTGGTTCAAGTTGTCTGTCATTAGCTCTTAGGCCCGCGTGACCAAACTCCAGGCATTTGGAGGGGAAGCCTGGCTTCATGTTTACCCTTCTCTTTCCTCTTCCCCTCCATGCCTGGGTCCTGGCTGCTGCTGCTGCTGGCTACCACTTTATGTCCCAAGTGGTCAAGCAGAGGATGCAGATGTACAACTCGCCTTACCAGCGTGTGATGGACTGTGTGCGGGCTGTGTGGCGCAACGAAGGGGCCGGAGCTTTCTACCGCAGCTACACCACCCAGCTCACCATGAACATCCCCTTCCAAGCCATTCACTTCATGACCTACGAGTTCTTGCAAGAGCAGCTCAACCCCCACAGACAGTACAACCCAGGCTCTCACGTGGTCTCTGGAGCCTGTGCGGGGGCTGTCGCTGCCGCTGCCACTACGCCTTTGGACGTTTGCAAAACACTGCTCAACACCCAGGAGTCCTTGGCCCTGAGCTCCAACATCAGCGGACACATCACAGGCATGGCTAATGCCTTCAGGACGGTGTACCAAGTGGGCGGTGTGACCGCCTACTTCAGAGGGGTCCAGGCCAGAGTCATTTATCAGATGCCCTCGACAGCGATTGCCTGGTCCGTGTATGAGTTCTTCAAATACATCCTCACCAAGCGCCAGGAGGAGCGTCGGGCTGGGAAATGAGCCAGAGCCAAATGCTGTTCCAGACCTGCCTCACATCCCCCTCCTGGTTTGTCTTCTGACCCCTCTCCCTTTCAGTTTGGTTTGTGTCGAAGAGAGGGGGCAGTGAAGCCCTTTGGGGTTTAACGATGCCGTTTTTTCCCTGTGACTGTTGCAGCTCTGCTCAGGCTGCACAGCTTGCTCTCTCCCAGGGTCCTCCACGACACCCTGCTGGGAGCTGCAGCCCAGGTCACATTCCCTCGCACTTTGGTGGAGCTGTGCTCCTGTCCTTCCCTTAACCACAATGTCTCACACAAAGCTCACCCCTCTTCGGAGGGGAAGGTGAATGTCCTGCCCGGCTTCTGGCAGGGCCAAGCTGAGCTCGCAGTCGCCAAGGAGGAGGTGATGGCGGATGCTGGGGGCTTCATCTGGCCTTTGGCTGAAGCGAAGTGTAAGCCTTGGCCGTTGTCTTGTAGCACGCACACGTGATGCTGACTGCCGCAGTGGTGGTGGTGGTGGGTGAGGGGGAGGATGGCACTTGAGGAGGGAGCCTGTAGGTTTGTTTTTGTTCCTGCTCTTGACACCTCCAATAAAAACAGTTCTGCTCTATCCTCATGTCCCATTCTTACTCCGGCATGGCCCAGCTCCTGGCACTGTGGCTTTCTGACTGTGCCTGGTGCTGAGCTCTTTTGATGAATGCCAAAGCGGGGAGGGAAGTGGGGTCTGGAGGTGGTGGTGGGAGAAGGGGATCTGCCTAGCCCAGTCACCCTGGCAGCGTGCAGGGATGAGGGTGTTGCCCATCCCGTCACCTGCTGCTGGTGTGGGTTGTGACTCCACGGGGGAAGCTGAGGTTTATGCTCCTCAGCCAGGTAGTCCCACACCCTCAGTCTGAGTAGGAGTCCTCAGGATGCTTCCAA